TCTGGGGTGACCAGAACTATAGAAAGTACAAACATAGCACCAAGGGAGTCCAGGCTGGCAGGAAGAATGTGAAGACTTAACATCGCAGGTGGACCTCAGAACGGCGTGCTGATACTTCATTAGGAAACCTACCTTCTTCAGGGTCAGGTCTCCTGAAGAAGGCAGGTCTCCTGGTGAAACGTTGGCACGCCACCCTCACATCTGCTTGAAGCTCCGTTTTCACATAAGCATAGAAGATAATTTTTCAACAGAATTGTATCCTCTTTCAGATGCACATGTGGAAATTGCCCCCATGAGGTCGGGCAATGCTGCAGGGACATGCCAAAAATCACACAAAAAACCTTGGGAAGGTGTGTCACAGAAAATGAACTTTTTCTGCTCGTATGTCTGGATGTGCGACTGCTGAACATAGCGTACGACCAGCTGAAATTTTTTCGCCCAACATATCTGGAGCCAGCAGCTCGGGATCGGAACAAGTAAGACCAGAACTTTTATAGCATATCAAATATAAATGCACCACACTGTAAGACAGTCTGTAAATCCCGCTTAGTGTATTGGCGACTCCAACAAAATCTATCGACGCTGCGTAGCGGCACCGCCGAGAAGCTCAAGAGAGGAGGTCATTTTGATTCTGTCTTCTGCTATCGCAGCTTGGCTCTTGTAGGCAGCATAGAAACAAACACTGTTTCCAGTGATTATTTTTATGCTTCTGCCATGTCATTCCTATGCATTGATTAGAAGCTTTCTACTGTCGAAAAATCGTTTTGCTTTCTTATGTAACACAGATGTTATGCTGCAATGCAAGAAATTTATGGTGGTCCGCGTGCTGAACGATGAAAACGACCTCCTTTTGTCCGCCATTTTGCCTGACCAGCACAGCCCCTAGACTAAGCTGGAGTCGCAAATATTGCAAACGTTAGTTGTGCTCATGGTACCTTGGATCGAAGAAGGCACATAGCCAGGTGTTTGTTTTGGGGGAGGGGGGAATATTGAATTACTTAAATTGTTGTGTCTACGTGTAGGTTGAGCCGAAGAAGACAATGAATAAGAATGAACGAACCGAGCTCCGGATGGGAACAGCTTGCCTTCTGTTAAACTTGCATAGACAGTCACTATACATAGCAATTGTCACAATCGACAGCTCCAACTCGATTATAAAGGTTGATTCACCCGTCTTTCCTACCATACCCAGGCGAGCTTGCGATTTTATGGAGGAATGGTACGCCAGTACACGATCCCTTCCAATGGGTCGACAATAGATAATGGCAGAACTGCCATTCTACTTAGCTCACTTGAAGTTGAGAGTCAGTGGACCTACTGCAAACTGCCGGAAGATTCTGCCTTGTCCACTGCTACCACTCATCTAAGTGCAAGTACTGCAGGAGCTACCTCCGAATCGCGCAGACCTGCATCGCCCATTTCCAGAGCCTATGATGCAGTGGCAAGAGAGTTACAAAAATTCTTGACAGTGAAACATTGGAAAGATTTATTTTTCGTTGCACACGTGGATGACCGGCCAAAACAGTACAAGAGTGTGTCACGTTCTCCGGGGCCTTGCGACAAACTGCTGGTTTGGGACAATAACAGATGAAATAATCTGCAATCAACTTGTCAATAAGACAATTCATGCCGAAGTACGAAACCACGCACTACTAGAGCTTGAGCTACCATTCGAATCAGATCTTGCCATCACCTCAAAAGTTCAGCGGGCGATGAAGGAGGCCAAAGTTTTTACCAAAGATGCGGGACTCAGTTTTCAAGTGGCAAAGATTCAAGCCCAAAAGAAACCAATAGTTAGGGGCAAAACACCCAATCAAAGGTCGTCCAGCATTTACTGCAGATCTGGTTCAATGTGCCACATGGCAGACCACCCTAAACGTCCTGCAAGGAATCAAGCATGCAGAAAATGAAAGATTGGACATTTTGCCTTTGTTTGCAAGCAAACAGTTTTGACAGGATCACAAGTACCAAGCATGGAACAAACTGAAGTATAGCAACTCGGATATTAGCAAACTGTACCACATGCAGGATACTTGCGTTCCTTTTTATCAAACTCCTAGTAGACACAAGACCCTCGGTTTCAATCCTTCTGGAAAGCGTCTACAGAAGATGCTTCCATTCTTGTAAGTTGCAACCTACAAGTACTGTATTCATTGGCTACTCCGTAAGAAAACATTGCTATTCCAAACATTTTGGAAAGAGCCAGCTCACCAGTACAGTTGGCGCAAAGTAATGGCGATTGCACATTCCACGTCGTCCGAACAAGACAGCCGTAATGGGACTATAAATGCTTTACAAAGGTTGGAAATTCAACTGGACTTTTCATCTCCTGCGGATGACAGGTGACTATCGTTTCGGCAAACGACCTTCCAAGGCCGTCAAAGGTTTCCTCCAGCTGTTCTCAGGTATGGGCCACGCCATTGGATATGTTCACAAGGTGAAGACGAAGTGTCCATCAGTCTGGTGCAACAGAATCTATGAAGGATAACTTTTGCAGTGCGTGACAAAGTTCTTGTAGAGCCGGCAAAGTTGGAGCACTCCTGGGTGATCGAGCGCAATAATGCATCACAGACCACTTCCGCAAATCAAACACCTCTGTTGTTCTCAATTCACGTCCTCTTCAGTGTCCAAACGAGCTCGTTCACCAGCTTTCTGGCACCCACATCTTCAACCAGTGGGACCTCTCATCAGCGTACTACTAGTTGAACCTGATAGAGGAGAGCGGGGACCTCATTGCGTTTGTGACTCATGAAAGTCTCTTCCTGTTCACAGTATGTTTTGGGCTGGCTTCCGCTGCTCCGGCTTTTCAAAATATGAAGAACTGTATTCTTTGGGACACAGCAGGCACCATTGTCAATCTATCCAGGATGATGTGGTCAACATCAGTTGCACAACTGAAGAGCATGATGCCCGCCTAAGACAAGGCTTACCCCGCCTACAGGATGCAGGTTGGAAACCGAACAAAAACAAATGCATTTTTCAGTGCAGCAACCTCGATTTCTTGGACATAAGTTGACACCTCAGGGAAGTAAGCCATGCCATGATAATGTTCAAGCCACCATGCAAGCTTCTACTCAAAGAGACATGACATCATATCCGGTCTTTGCTTGACCTGCTTACATACCGTTTCGAATTCATACCTAACTTTGCAACCATCGTGAGGCCCTTGCATGTGCATCTGCGGAAAGTTGTCCCCTTATAATGGCAAAAAGCACAAGAGGTGGCATTTGCATCAGTCAAAACCCGATTCGAAACTGTTCCATTTAGTTTTCGACGTGACACTGTCTGCTATCGTCACAGGTTGGAGAGAAATTTACTTTTCAGGTTTTTTTTTAATTCTCCAATTAGAATTCTACAATCGTCAGAAAAGATTCATCGGATTATGGATTAGGCACAGTGCTACAGCAAGACATCCAGATGGAATTCGCACTATCCTGTTCACATCGCGATTGCTTTCCAGCGCCCAGTGCAACCGCTCTGCAGAGTTAGAGGAATAGGCGTGCCTCTGGGCCTGCGAGAAGCATCATGTTTTCCTTTTCGGTCACCATTTCATGCTCAGGATGGACCACCAGGCTCTGGTTACATTACTCTGTATTTAGGGAAACGGTCGACAACCGATAACAATTGCCGGGTGGCCATGCGTCTCCTCAAGATCACCAAAAGGGCAATGAGAATGTTGTGGCAGTCGAGCTTTCTCGTCTTCCTGCATTTAAATCCTCAGATTGCATGAAGTCATACGTCGAAAAAAGAAAATTCACATGCCCTGTGTGCAGTCTCTGTTGAATTGACCAAGAAGAGATACAGAAAGAGAAAGAACAAGACCCCGATTTACTTCGGGTGATAGTGTGTCAACATGGGTTGTGGTCTCAAATACCTATGGGAATCAGCACTCTCTCCCACTACAAGATACGAAAAGAACTTTCATCTGTATATGGCTTACTGCTATACGCAAAAGTGCTGGTTCCTTCTGCTTCACTCAGACGAATAGTGTGAACCAAAATACAACTATGTGAATGCTTCTGTGGTGGCCCAGAATGGATAGCAAAGCCAATACTTGTCCAAATACTGTCACGCATCTCAGACAACCGACAAGTAAGCAGCGAAAGAAGGATCACCTCTACAACCAGTGCTTTTTTCCAATAGGCGCATGGAAACAGCTTGGAACAGACACTGTGGAACTATTCTACAAACTTCTTTCACCATTACCGTTCTGCAACAAACTAGTTCAGTAAGTAGCCTGGGGTTGCTTTCTGTAGTCAAGTGACAGCAGAGATTGTCTGCGACTTCCTATTAACACTATTGAGCTGAGAGGGACATCCAAACATTACTGCCTTGGACCATGGCTTACAGGTCAGGTCCCGCACAATTTGAGAGTTCCTCAGGTCGAGGGACTTCTCATCATCAGTCTGCAATTTGAAGTCCACAGGCGAATGAACGAGTTAAAAGATTTAATTGAATTTTAAAATTGTCTGTCCAGTCAATCACTCAAGAACGAGGAAACACCCATACAGGCAGTAGTGAATTTCTTCTCTATAAAAGCACACCAGAAGCAGCGGCAAAGGTTTTCACGCATGAAATTTAAAATGAAACATGTCTAGATATCATGGGCTTTCCAGGTTTCGAAAAGCCTTTTCCTTTAGAGATGCGGCAAAAGGGCCCCCAAGTTCAGAGTAAAAGTGTAGCAGATGAAGTCTTTCTAAGACTCTTACCAATTCTTCTGTTACTTTCTCAGACGGTACAGGTACACGGCATACAGCCAGTTCGTCTGGTGGATTTGGGGACGACTGGGCAGGTTTCGCCGCGTCAGGCTCCCGTGCTGTGTGGTGGCCAGGATAAGAAAAGAATTCCCATCGACCAGATACACGGGCTTCCACTATGCTTGATCGAACCGGGTCCTGTGGGCCAACACGGCTGCTTCCTTGTCTGGCCTTTGTGCAACGCTGCACAGAGGTGGTTGACGAGGACGCGGCCCGTTCGCAGCCACAGCCTGCTGGTAGGTTCGGGAAGCCTTGGCCAACTCCAGGCAGGAATTGAGGAGCCTCTGGACGTAGTCTGAGTAAGAAAGTGTGATAGTCAAGCTGCAGCCAATGTCTGAATAAAAGTGTCTGTATTTACCGTACGACGCAGTCTCCATGATGGGGCTGAGGACCCATTCGCCTTTCCGTGACTTGGGAAACTTCAGACAACTTCGCTTTTTTTCGTCCTTCGTTGTGGCCTGCGCACGGTTGCTGTTCTCATTTTAGTGGAGCACCGCGACGGCAGTCCTGTGAGGGCAGCATATAAGGGAAGGAAAGACTGTAAACATGCCCTAAGCATATTTCATATTAGAACTTTTCAGAAATTTTCATATAGCACAACACATGCTAGTGACCGTATCCGCGCTGGCAGGCAACTTGTCGTATACTAGCAGACCATCCTCGGGAACATGGCCCTGCATCGTTTCGCACACTAGCAACCCATCCTATTCTCATTGAATGACTCACTATTATTGTGATCAAAATTAAGTCGACACTTCTCATTTACTGTAAACGACTTATTTTTCGCGGTCTCAATATTTCACGATTTAGGTCGAAGCTCAAGCTTTGTCATAATTCGCAGGTTCTAATTTTTGCGACACAATGGGATCTCAATGTAGATTTTTATGTGCTTACATTCTACCAAAATTGTTTGCGGGACATATTTTTCGCAAATTGTACGCGATTCACAAAAATTAGGCCTTCTCAAAAATTAAGTCGTTTACAGTACAAGGAGCGCTGCAATTTGCCACCATTGTGCGGATACAAGCATGTATGAAAAATGTTGGCTTCTCTTCGACTTACGGTAACAATGAGAAGCTCGTTAAAGACGAGGGAGATAAAGATTGTACAAATTGACGTAGGGCCTCGCTCCTGAAAACAGTATGTGCACTCGCTCATCTGCTAGTGTACATAAGTTCATCCCCAGAATTTTCTGCGTGAGTGGTGCACAGTAGAAATTTCAGAAAAGGCTCATAAATAAACAAATATCACCAGCATATATCAGGATGCCTGCTTACCGTGCCACCATGCCCTCAAAACTGAAGTGACTGGATTTCGGAGTAAACCGGAGCAGGATGCTGTGGAACAACTCTAGGCGATAGGTCTGACCGTCTCCAGACACCCTTGGAATGTCCTTGAGTAGTTGCTTGGACATGACGATCTTTTCGAGAGCCACGTATAGCTCGGTCCCTGCGATAAGAGAAAGTACCGAAATAACCCTCCGGGTGTCTAGCAAGTTATTACAACTCTACAAGGGTCCCTGAACATTGTAGAGGTGGTTAAATTTATCAGATCATTACAACACAAGGCATTGAGCATTCAGAACTCTAACAATACTTTCGCACGGGCTGAACCCAACTTGCATATTCCGAAATATTTGGGTTCGTCCTGTCCGGATTAAATGAGCACTCTCTTGCCGCCTGACATAGTCAGTGAAGAAGCCACTTCCAGAAACACAATAAAAACATGACGCTGAACCACACATGTTAATAATTACGAATGGCAGCATGGCATAGCCGCCAGATGCACACTTTCGGATACTTTTGGCTTGGATTGTATTGGGGTCTGCAGCTTTCCCATTTGTTAATAATAATAAATCTAGTAGCTCTAACTGGATCTAGTCTAGTGTCGCGCCCTCAATCCAATCCAAGGCTTTTACTGGATTTGTCGGCGGTTCCATTTGCATCGGGTATTACACTCTACATCAATTGAGCAGGGCCCGCGGGCTCCGCTCCAAGCAGAATTTATTACTTATTTTTCTGCCAACAGGTTTTCAAGTCTTTGCTCAGGGCACTCGATAGCGTTTCCGGCACATTTTCCCTGACTCGGCTCGCTCTTTGGCAATATCCCTGACAGTCCCCCGATTTTTCCTGGTAATTAAATTTCCCCTGACAATTCCCGGTTTTGCCGGTCTCTAGACACCCTGACCCTTGTAAGTGCTGAGTTTACATCGATAGCGACTGAGCAGGTAAGCCAGAGCGCAGCCGAGTATACTCCTGGTGGCACCCAAAAGGTTAAACAGCAAAGCCAGTGCCCATTGCAGCCTGTCCACAACTCACTTTTTTGTGTTGTATATGTGATGCAACTGCCATTTTATTTTTTATTCATCTCTGCAGAAGCTAGATCTCTGCTCAGTAATTCTGCATAAATAATTTTCATATAATCTGCAATTTCCCTTTTTATGCGTCTTTTGCATGTTACAAGTCGTTCTTCACTTCCTCATTCTGTGTCTTTTCATGACCTCAAAAGTGGAGTGTTTTTCTTAAAATATAAGGCTAGAAACATGCAGTTTAAGCCTCTTGATGTAATTGAAATGTCCGCTCAGTACTATGAGCTGGATACGAGATGGAGTCCTCCCATCGGCAGGTCTAGAGGGGGGGGGGGGGAGGGGTTGGGATATCCTGACCCTCCTTTTGAATTCCGCAGGTGTGAAATGCAGAGCGGAAAAGGGGGGGGGGGAGCATACAAGTTATCCGAACCACAATCTGGTATGCTGACTCCCCATCTGGAAACACTTGCATTCATCTCCGATTCCTCCTTGTGCTATTTGATTGTAGACTGGCCAGAGCAGCCAAAGGAGGTCTGTCCTTATTATGAAAGCTTCGCCGACAACTGGAGTGAAAAGAATGTTATGAATGTTTAAAAAATGAATCTTTTTTGCCTTCCTGAAGCCACCAGCGCTCTTCGATTGGGCCATGGGTGCACGCAGGGTACAGGGGGCTGGGGTGCTGACGGACGTTGCTCACGTGTCGCATTACGGACATCCATTTTGCAAGCACCAGCGCGCCATTGTCACTGCTGGTCTGTGCACACCAGTAGACGTGTCCACGTACAGTCTTCACCCATGCATTCATGATGCTGTTCTTCTTTGTCTTTTCTGCAGGGGCCATCTTGCTCCCAATGCCTATAAATTAGAAAGCCTCCATGATTACTAGCTCAGCACCAGTCTAGTTTGGAAAACAAGTTTTGATATTAGATACACTAAAAATATGAAGCTATAGTAAAATTGCATCTAGATACTGGTGCAGCATGGACAACATCGTCAACTTTAGTATACCATATGACGTTTGAATAATGCCACGTGTATCTTGACAACAAAGCATGTTGCACTATAGTTCATTGAGCCAGCGATCATTAACTCAATCGTGATCGGGCCGTGTTACACAGCAGTGCCATCTACCATCAAGCCGCTAACGATCACTGAATTCAACTGAGCTCGCCTACCTCAGTTAACTGATGGGGGTTCACCCCAACAGAGCTAAAGATGGCAGCATTCACCACATCACCACTGATGGCCAGTGCTAGCGAAGCATTTACTATTGCAGAAGAGAGGTATCTAAAAATTATCATAGCAGCAAATATTATCAGAAGAGGTATGAAACGAAGTCAGAGCTACCACTAAAACTATTGCGAAACGTCGAGGAAGTGCGGCCATTGTGATTTCGGTGGCAGTAAGACTTTCGTTGTCACTCTTGCTTTAAATTTCTGTGAAATATTCGAATTTTCGTTTTCTTTGTTCTCAAAATAAACTAAAATCTATCACTCTGAACGACTTATTTTTTGCAGGCTCAATATTTTACAATTTAGGTCAAAGCTGAATTTTTGGAATAATTTGTGGGTTTTCATTTTTGCAACATGGTGGGATCTCAATATGGGCGATTCGTGAAATTTAAATTGTTTACAGTATATGTCAAGTTAAACTTTTTTTTTGTGGTTTGTTAAACATGTTACACGCAATTATCCTCAATACTTTTTTTTCTATCATGTGGGTCACGTGACGTGCATCAGAACTCGGGTCATTAGGCCCATGTACCGCGTAGCACCAGGCAACTTAGTTGAGTTCAGTGAGATGTCCATGATCCTTGACTCAATGATTGTTAAAACGGCCCATATACAGGGGTATTGGAGTTATCAATACTATTACCTTTTGCGACATGCCATGCGTCGAACCGGTGCTTGGTGTCCGGTACCTGTCTCTCATCAGGGCATTCACCCCAAAGTGCCGGTCGGTCACAAGAGCATACACAGACAGCCCCATGCTCAGGAGGAAGTCCAGGGAACGTTTCAGGCCCTCCGTCTCCATGTGGTTGCTCGACTTGACTTCTGTCGACTAGGGTAGAAAAAGGTGCCGTAAAATGCATACCTGATCCATGTGATGCATTGAGGTCATCTTATATTTAGCCACTTCTTACCTGAAGAACCTCGTAGTGCATGATCTTGTTGATGCGGGTGTCAAACCGTGTGTACGTCCCATACTTGGCAGAGTGGCCAGGCGAGTCAGCACGCCCATCGCCTGCAAGGTGGAGCTTGTCTTTCGTGGCTGTCAGGAGAGACTCCTGTTCAGCTTCCCAGGTCTTTGAAACGAGAAAACTCAGTGTCAGGCTCAACCAGTGAACATTTTTAGTGAACGGACAATCTTGTAGTCAGTTCTGCTCACCTTTGTAGCAGCAGAAAAGACCAAAGAGCTCTGCACCCGGAAGAACTGAGTCTTCTTCAAGACTTGCACGCCTATAGGTCCCAGGAGGCGAAGAACGCGCGTTGGGCTGGCTCCAGAGTAGGTGATGACAGCAGGCAGCAGAATGTTGAGGAGTGCCTTGCTGTTGATTCTGGGCTGGTTCTCCCACAGTCTTGTGCCCTCGTGCACACGTGATGACGGCGTGCACAAGGGTCCCTCGATGTGTCAGCTTCGTCCGTGTCGGAGCCAGGCATTTGATGCAAACAGAAAACAGCAGCAGCAGCTGTGATGCAGTCACCAGGTACTTTCTCTCCTTTACCGGGTCCACTGCTGCTGAAGACGTGCTGCACCCTCCTTCACTGTTAAAAAACAAAAAAAATAAACCAAAAGATTATAGTGTTGAAATTTCAAAAACAGTGCTTTTTTAACGCTTCTAATTTTTTTCTATTCTGCCATCATCTCTCACAGTTCTTTGCACAAAACCGAGATATGTAACAAGCTCCTCCTTTCATATTCATTGACTTTGCCAGGTTTTCCCAGACTATTTCTATTAAATTTCCTGGCCGTTATTTCAACCTGGTCCGAATAACCAAGTGTGATCGTCGTGCTTTTTATAAGATGTAGTTCTAAGGCTCCTCCACTGCACCATAAACTGTGTGTATGATAAGAAACACCCATGTAACCACCATACTAAAGTTTCATTTAGGAACTGGTAGTATAATAAATTAATTAATTATTCATTTAATTAGGTAATGGCTTGCACTATCTAATGATGTTTCAGGGAACATTATTGGGTGCAGCTGTGCCGATGTGCTTCTGCAAAGCTTCGTTATTACTGCCGTGCCACTTCCATTTGTCATTTCTCCTGATATAGCCAACCTTTTGACTGTTTCCCTTATATTTGTCTAACTTTTGCAGGTGAAGAAAAGCCCCAGATAATTACAAGTTTTCCAGATTGGTAGACCTAGCTTAATCCTATTCATAAAATGGAGTTCTGGTTTCTGAAAAATTACAGTGGACACATACTCGACATCTGTTGCACCGTCCGAGTGCACAGAGTCGTTGGACCAGATGCTGGTGTCGGAATCCGGTTCATCATCGGAGTTGAAAGAGTTATCCGGCCTGTAACTCTCGTCCAACAGATCTGGCTCAGGGCACATATCCTCATCGGAGTCCAGGAAGGCGGCCTCCGTGTAACTGGTGTCCGAAGGCGATGCCCCAGGCTCTGAGGGTTCAGCAGTGGCATCCCGCTCCAACGACAAGGGGCTTGGCGTCTTGTCCTCTGTAGGCGTAGAACACCACTGGCGCAATTCTTGCTCAACGTCTGCCGAGTTCTCTTGGGCTTGTTGGGGACTTCCGGGAACAGCTGGCTCGCTCCCCAAAGGGCTTTGGACAACCATGCCTGGAAAAGATTGAATGCCAGAGCATACATTATGGTGTCAAAACTGTTTAACACGCACAGTAACAGTGTGCATGACATGACTTGTGATGCAGTGCAGTTTTCACAATTGATGAGCAAAAATATATATCCGTCACTCTCACCCTTCCAAGTTTATTTTGACGCAATAAAAACATTAGGTCCCCACCTTTCTGCTATGCTACTGCAAATAGCCCAGGCTCAACGAAAGATGAGGGAAATGCATGAATGTCCACAGTCAAAGGTAGTGTTATGAACTGGTTGGAACCAGTTCATGCTTGGTAGCGGCAGTAACCAAACTAATATCTAGCAGGCATGCTGGAACCGGGACCAAACCACAACAAAACACAAAATCGGCGGTTCAACACCATGGTTGTGATATAACGGTGGTTCTATGTTTTCAAATAAAGCCGATGAAATCCGAAAACCATTTGCCTGTAAAACTTTTGCCAATTCGAATTCATCCGAAAAAAATAGGATTTTGAAGGTCACACCAACCGGGGAAAAGAAAAAAACGCGCAATAAAGATCAGGTTGGATAAGTGCGAAGGGTCGTCGGTCCTGAGAAAGACGGTGGGTGTCTGTTTTTTGCAGAGAACAAGGCAATGTATTTCTAGGTCACGGCAGAAATAAGGCTGTACGTCTAACGGTGCTAGCGGTTGTTCCAGTCTCAAGTTCAGACCATAGTCACCATGGACAGCATAGTTCCATCAGTGGGTGCGGGTAAAGTGACTTGAATGGGGGTGCGTGAAGCTGAAGTTGCTATACTACTATGTTGTTCAACCTGCGCTTTCACGGCAGATTTCTGTGGCACCTGCAACAGCGAGGCGACATTTACTTTCATGCCTATACAAACATGTGCACTTGTATTTATTACAGCAAGCTTGTAGTAAATACAAGCGCACTTGCTTGTTTTGAAATGCATAGATGAGCTCATTGTAAATATTTCACACTATTAAAATTTGTTTTGATAGAAGAATGAAGTCCAAATAACAATTTCCAAATTTGACAACAATAAACTCGGGGAAACACGGACATAATGCATCTATGTTATGTATACTATTAAAACTATCGTCACAATTGTATTACATAGATAGCACTATATTCTTAAGCCACCACAGCTACTCACCGGAAGATGTTGGCAGTGCCGGATTTTCAGGCGAAGTCTGACAAAGCTCCTCGAAGGCTTGCACAGCTTTGTCCACAGACAGTGTCGGTGTACCTGGCACACAAAAAAACATTACATTTCAGATATAGACTCGAATAACATTGCACAAAGAGAGAGAGAGAGAGACTGATAAAGCTATTCTGTCATTACACGATAAGGTAAACCAAGTCACTACATACCTCTCGTTACCACACACATACAGATGTGGCAGATGGGCGGCTCCAAGTGCGGTCCAAAATGGCCATCAATTGCTGTAGTTGCTGGCACGGTGTCCCATAAAGCGGCGGTGCTGCTGTTGCACCCTGGCCCAGAAGCGGAAGCCTGGTCCCCGCTCTGTAAAAGCAGTGCGATAGTTACTACAACCGGTATACACCAACTCATGTTTACAAACAAACCGGAGCGCCCGGAGCGCCCCTAGCGGACGCCACCAGCGCCGCGTATGCGCGATGGGGGTGTGGGCAAGAAGCTCACCGTCGCCCATAAACAAACCATTGAAATGCGATGTTGTCGTCGTCGGTTTAAGTTCCCGGGCTCTTTTTCGCGTTGGAATTCTTGATTCTACGTCCTCCTAACGATGTCTGACTACTTGAGCGGCGTCAGCGAAATTAACGAGGCTCGTTACACCGCAAAACTTCGCGTGAATAATCTGACATGCGGCGATTCATTCCGCGTGGACGCCGCAGAATGTACGCTAGAGCCTGATTCACATGATGAGATTTCGCTCGCAATTTTCAATAGCGACGTCGCTCGCACTGCAAAAGCGTGAACCGTAGCTGAGATGGTCGACGTCAATACTGAAAATCGCAAGCAGAATCTAACCAAGTGAATCAGGCCTAACAAGTCGGTGATGGCCACTGGTAACAATGATCAACATCTCCTTGTATCTACTGTTTACATCGAGCCTGCTTACCAACCTTCAAACTTAAGTCTTTTGAGGCCTGCACTTACTTCTTATCGCAAGTGCCGGGCCCTCGTTTGGTCTACGGGCCGGTGTCCTCTAAAAGGGCAGACGACAGTTCGAACGATCAGGCGACCGTTTAAACTTGAAGACGCACTGAACGCAGTTCGCAGGTGGTCCGTACAACTTGACGGTTTTCCGGCATTCATTTTGGAACAAAACAAATAAATCTGATGGCCAGAAGTATCCGTGAATTCAACCCAAAATGCTTCCCGCCAATTCAATCGTGGTCCGAGGGCGTCTGGTTTTCCCTTTTCACGGCACATATCCACGTTCTCGGACGAACCGAGCGCATGAAAACTGACCTTCAAACCTTTCTCGACCCTTTTGGTACAGCCCCAGTCGCAGCATTTTGACAAGAAGGCAGGTTTTTGTCTGGTTCCTTTCAAAACAACGCAGGAATACACGTCTCAGATGGGCACTTCCGCCCACAGCCCCGGACTGGAAGTGCGTCCGACGCGCCACAACCGCGCCGTGACGTAACAGAAATGAGTTTGTGTATACACGAACTCAACTCTGTGACGTCACGGCGCGGTGGTGGCGCGTCAGGCAAGCATCCGGTCTGGGGCCGTGGGCAGAAGTCCCCATGCCAGACGTGCATTCCTGCATTATTTTGAAAGGAACTAGACACAAACATGCCTTCTCGTCAAAACGCCGTGACTGGGACCGTACCAAAAGTGTTGAGAAAGGTTTGAAGGTCAGTTTTCACGTGCTCGGTTCGCCCGAGAATCTGGATATGTGCTGTGAAAAGGGAAAAGCAGACGCCGTCCGACAACCATTGCTTGGGCAGTAGGCACTTTGGGTTGAATTTGCGGATGCTTGTGGTCATCAGATTTATTTGCTTTGTTCCAACATGAACGCCAGAAAACCGTCAAGTTGTCCGGAACATGTTCAGTGCGTCTTCAAGTTCAAACGGTTGCCTGATCGTTCGAACTGTCGTCTGCTCTTTCAAACGTTTCAAGCGTCGGTGTGAGTTCCCCTGTCCTTTTTCGCGTTCGAATTGTTGCCCCAGCAATCTCCGACTACTTGAGCGGAATCAGCGAAATTAGCGAGGCTCGTTACACCGCAAAATTTCGCGTAGTGGTAGTCCGCACAACTTGACGGTTCTCCGGCGTTATGTTGGAACAAAACAAATAAAGCTGATGACTACAAGTATCCGTGATTTCAACCCAAAGCGCTTCCCGTTTAAGCAATCATGGTCCGACGGCGTCTGATTTTCCTTTTTCACAACACATATCCGTGTTCTCAGACGAACCGAGCACGTGAAAACTGACCTTCAAACCCCTCTCGACTTTTTTGGTACATCCTCAGTTGCGACATTTTGACTAGAAGGCAGGCTTTGTCTGGTTCCTTTCAATGCAGGAATACACGTCTCGCATGGGGTCTTCCGCCCACAGCCCATACCGGAAGTGCGCCCGACGCGCCACCACCACGCCGTGACATAACAGAGTTGCGTTTGTGTACATATAGGCTGGTTTCACATGATATACCTTCTGCTCAAACCCACGGTAGAATTCTTAGTTTGTGGGCCTTAGCCCTTTGCTTTCCTGCGGGCGGAGGCAATGTTTTCCAACTTGCGCAATATTTTTTTTGTGTTGTGATTGGCTGCGCCAGTCAAAGAAGTCGGCAATGCAAAGGAGCATCGGCTGGTACTCAATTTTCATACATATTGATATTTACTCGGAGCTTAGAGGATCTGTTACTTGAGGAATTGGCTCACTAGTGGCCAAAATGGCCCCAGTGGGTGCTGCGGGGCCACCTTGATGGACAGAAAAGCGTAGTGAACAAAGGTATCTAAGGCCTATGAGCGTCTTCGATGGTGCTTGTTGAGTTCTGCCGTCGGTAGAGATGCTCATTAGGTTTTGTGGGATTCACCAACACCGCAAAACTTCGCCCATAAACAAGCGCCTCCACGTAACGAATAGGGCAAATGGTGGATGCAGCCCGCGGCCCCCCCTCCCCCCCCCCCCCCCCCCTGCACTCCAAAGTGCAATCGAAGGAAGTGAAATTTTGTTTTTTGACACCACCTTATATCAAACAATGCGAGACGCTGTTGATGATTCACTCTTTGGTTGCGGGCCAAGGACCTGCACGTTCAGTATTAGTAAACATGTTTCGTTACTCATAACAATGTTATCTCCATTCTCATGCACAAGATATGGCTAATTTGTACCAATGAAAACAAAAATACGTACTTGGCTAAGGCACGCTGTTCTGGCTTGGTTCTGACCAACAGGTTCTTCTCGAGCCACTGGTGCATCCAGCGATGACTCATATGTTGGTGCTTCGGAGTCGTCATCCCATGTAGTGACCACGCGCAAGCTACTGCCCTTCGACACTGTGCTGCTGCTGCTGCTACAGCGGTCACCGCTCTGTGAAACCAATCGGTCAATATTTATTGTCTTTGATTTGTTCATAACACACCTTATAGCCTAGTTTAAGTGTAAGGGCCGCGCGAAAGTTATAAAATAATGAATGAATAAACATTATCGTAGGGATGGGTTCCAGCACCCCCAGGTGAAGCCCAAAGTCCGGTGCCTCAAAAATGACGGCCACCAATTTGGTACGGTCCACCTGCTATTGCTGGCCAGTGGCCGCGTCATCGGTCTGCCGCTCCTCCCAGGAGGTGGGGGAGGGGTTGGGAAGAGGCGAGACAGAGGGAATATCCTGGCATTACCAGACCATGTGAAGAAGTGTGGGAAAAGAGTTGGTGTCATAGAACACCCTGTCTGCGAGTAAGAGAAGGCTGAGGAGGATAATGTTCCCGGTGTGAGAGTTCTCGGGCGAGTACACAAGCACACTCATTACCAGGGACGGCTGCGTGCCCAAACACCCAGCCCAGACACCCAGACTAACGGGAAAGTGTGGGAGGTGGAGGATAGGAAGGAGTCGAGTAGGGACACAGTGGATAGATGCAAGGTGGTGAGAAGGAAATGCCGACAAGCCGTCTGGGAGTCAGCCAGAATGTTAGTGGGGAGGAAGAGGAGAGAGTGGAGGTGGAAAGAATTGCCCTGTGCTAAAATGACGATGTGCAACAAGTGTCAACATAAATACCAATTGGATGCCTATATTAGAAGGGGAATACCTTGGTCGCCAAACGAACGAAAAGTTTTCTAGTCTAACTTGCAATAATTATCGGATATATTGTTCAGATTACTGGTTTTGAAAACAACTTGTTTGCTCTTAAATGTACTGTTTACTGGTAACAGCATAGATTATTGAAATATATTAATATTATATTACATAACGGCAGTGTTCAGAGTTACGGTTCCCGATTTCAGGTTCGGTTCAGTCCTGGGTAAAGTTCGTACAGCCGTTTGAGCTTTTGAAAGAGCACGCCAGCCCGCGCGCGGACACGCGCATTCACTTCTACTGATATATAGCACAAAACGTTCGCGTGCGTTCACGTGCGACGTGCTCGTGAATGTCGCCTCAACAGGCTTGCGATCGCACATGCTCGCCCGCACGAACAGAGACAAAAGCATCGGCCAGCGTGACGTGAGCGAGGAATATACGTACCCCGGTCCGACGACGCTTCACGCATGATTCGTCTGCTGTTTGGGGAGGCGAGGATCGAGGAACGAGGTACGACGACACGGCGTCCGGCGTCAGTCCGTCGGCTGTTACGGAAGGCGAGGATCCAGGATCGAGGATCGACGGCACGGCGTTTGGATCCAGACGCGCGTACTTGGTTGAAAACCCTGCGTCGCAGAACAAGCGCAGATCTCGCTGGTAGCATTCGGGCAAAAAGTGGTCAGAACAGATCAATGTCCTGCTATTTGGCGACCACGGCTTCTCGGAGTTCCAACGGCGCACGATGTCTGTCCAAACAATGAGACGCGCACTGTCGCGAGGGAACTTGTGAAAAACAACTCCCTGGCTGGTGAGCTGATAGTTCAAGCAGGCAGCAACACAACATCGTGAGCCTATGGCCCTTTTGCGAGGCATCGCAGCTAGGCTTCGGGGATGCTGCCCGCGCTCGAACCGTAACAAAACCACAAAACGCCGTCCTCCTACTGCTCCTACTGCAGCAGAGGCGAAACGAGGAAACGAGTGCGTCTGCTACCAACTTGGCGCATGCGTTTTACGGTGATCATGTGGACAGAGCCAACACGCAACGCCGGGAGGAGGCACTTCCACTCACGACGTCTTCGTTCAATTTCGCCCGGAGAAGTAAAAACAACCAAAACATAGAACTGACATACGCATGCCTCTGACGTAGTGGCTCACTGTTGGCTGCGCCAAATCCGTGGTATTGACAGCGCTGTTGATTGCTCTTCACGTCGCGCGCTAGAGTTAGCAGATTTCGGCGACTTGGCTCGTTTGAAAGTTTGCTGGCCAGATTAATAAATATTTAGACGGAATTACATCGCGATACTTGGCATGTGGTCTTCCTATATGATGCTGAAGAGGGCTACATAGTTTTCTCAATATCAAAAATGAAGCGGAGTTGCCCTTTAAGTACGACTGCTTAAGTCGGTGGGATCGTTGTCGTTTTTTTTATATATGTATTTCTCCTTCTTTGCTGGCTGAAATCGGAATTCACACGAAGAGTATCTAGAAGTGCGCTCGTTTGTCTCCACACGGAAGTATCCGAGCAAAGTTGGCAGCTATCGTAGAATTTAATCGCAATCTATTCAAACCTAAGATCAATTTTCTTCCCCGAATTAGGGTCCGTTTTTAGGTTTCGTCGTACTCACAATTTCTGCAATAGCGAAAACAAAATATACTTAGCTAACCGTTCCCGCTGCTACGCCTGAAGTCACACAACAAATGCAAAGCAAAGCGAAAGAAATACCTCGCCCCGTCACCTGACGCTTGTCTCTTTTTCAAGATCTAGCGATCGCAGAGCTCCAGTCGCTTCCGCTTGGTGCTAATAGAAAATCAGTGTATATTGAATCCACCTGAGCACAGTGAGCGCTTGTAGCTTCCTTCTGCTTCATTTACGACGCCTTTTTTTTCTTTTAGAAGCGTTAAAATGTTTGTTTTTTTGTTTGGCACAAGCTTTTAACATTGAAAATGCTAGGGTGGCTTTTGTTTCAAATTATGTATTTCTACCTTTTCCCTAACCGCGTGTCTTCGTAATCCGGCACTACAAGCAACGGCATCACCACAAACAAAAGGATTATTTTGGCACCATAATGCCACTCGATTCGAGGAGAGTAGCGTCATTTTGGTTAATAATATGAGCAGTTTCTCTTCGACATCTCTATTCTTGGTGAGCCGATCTTAATTCCCTGGTGACGGGTAGCTTTGTGAAGACGTTTTTGAATACCGAGATTTTGTTATCCTCATACCGACAAAACAGGAGCACATCTTCGTATCGCCATCACAGGCTGCGCCTCTGGATGGCGGCATCGAAAAATATTTTTGTCTTTAAATACTCAAGTACGACACTGCAAGAAATATTCAAAAACAAGCATTTTTGATAGGTGGATTTCATGCACAGTGCCAAAGATGCTTACATTGATGAGGAACGCTTTAGAACGATGATGATTCATAGGGATCTCGTGGTGACTAGTTCAGAACGACCCTTTCAAAGATTTGAATAGACTTTAATGGCGATCGCTATTGCATCTGGGACCATCGGCCAGTCACCTTGTGAAGTTTGGTCTCCTCGATGTTTGTATCAGTTCGTGTCCGGCTAGCCGGCAGAGAAGGCAATGACGCTACTTTCCCAGGATCCGGTGATTTTAGGCACCCTAGCCCTGAGCCCGCGTTCTCTTTGTGTGCGTATTTAGAGTAGGTTTTATATTGTTTGTAAGTTGTAAACGGGGTGCTTTGCTCAGCCTTATTTGTGTTTCTGATCTGCTGCCTTGCATAAAACGGACAGAGCAGCCCGGCGCGGTCTTTACGCTCGCTTTGCCGCACGGGCTGACCAACAACATGCCATATAAATATCCTCACAACCCCTATTGTTTTTATTCGGTGCAAGGTCTTCGTAACGCTGACATTAAACTGTGACTTGAGGATGTTTATTAACTGTCCAAATCTCCATCTTACACAAGGACAGGCCTCGGCAGTCCACTCGTATAGTACCTCAAGCATACGAACACGTCACATTGGTCTGGCATCGCATCGCCGCCCAATGTAATATGTCACGATAAATTCACGAAATGTATCCTAAAGTCCAGATATACCTCCTGCAGGTGATTTCAAGCTCCGTAAATATAAATAGAAATTTTTTTTCACGCTGCTGTTTGATTGCAGGACGCACTCAACGAGCCTGAGTGTACTTAGAGCGGCACCGAAAACTGACCACCCCCACCCCCTGAACCCCTTGGTTGCCGCCATGTTACCCGTTGACCACATAAGTGAACACTTGGCGTCAAGGTGCCTGCTCCCTGACATGTTGGTGTTACACATCGATGAGTCACGACAAATCAACCACAACTCCATTCTTCAAGAATGTCTAACCAGTTAGGTTTTGTGCATTTAGTGCGCGTGGCCTTTGTCATGTTCATTTTGTGTTGTCACCCTTTTTTATACATTTCATGATATGCATAGAGTCACAATTACCACACTATACTTCATACACCATTCAACACTGAATGTTTGTAGGGTTACAGCCTTTTCGCTTTGCGCAAGTATTCAAAAAGTGTAGTACGACTTAAGAACAGTTTGTACACCCAACAGATAGAACGCTAAACTAATAGCGACTGACACACCCCTGAACCTGCGAAATAGATGGAGCCACCATTCTCCTTGCCTCTCGCTTATTTCCCCTACGCCCTGCGTTCGCCTCCCTGTTTCGTCAATAAGCGACATGGATGGTTACGCTAACCAACTAGCCGCATTTTTTAGCTCTTGCAACCGTATGCAGATGTTCGTTTTATATGAGCGCTGCGCCATGAGAACCCCATTTTCTAATGCCATGGCTTACTTGGTGGCAGAAAAACTTAAAACTCTCAAAACGGGCTCACTGCCCTTTTCAAACACTCAGCAAACCAGCAGCGGTCCCTCTCGGACAAAGAACCCAGTAGGGTTGCTGTACCAGCCAGGTCATGATGGCAATCGTGAAGGCTGCCTTTTTAACACAACTGGCAAGTTATACAGACACGTAGGGTCTTCTTGACATCAAAAAATCCTCGAGCCATGTGTCACAGTCACGCGAAACCACCGAAAACTCTCAGAATTCCTTTTTGGTTTTAACTTTCAGGTACTCCGTATACCTCGCATTAATTTTCGGTAAGAGCCCTCAACATTCTGATGGTCAAGCAACACGACGATGCGAAAAAAGGTTTATGGGATGTGCAAGCACTGCTTAGGTGCACGACATTCGACCAATTTTCGAATCGGTGCCGATAGCTGGTGATGTCTCGTGTACACCAAGGCGTATTCGTTTATCGTGTGCCTGGGCAAACGTGACAAACACTGGGATTTACCATTTAGTATCTTCCACTACTCGATTGCCGTGGTTGAATGAAACACTCACCGCCGTGCTCAATGCATCTTTGGGAGCACCTATATTTACGACAGGTGGCCACTGATGTAGCAGACGAGCAAGATGGCGGCCAAAGGAGGGCGGGGGACTTCCCTGTTGCAAATTTGGCTTCCGGTTGACCACCCTATGGTTACTCGAGCTCGTTGGATGCGGCAATCGTATTGTTAGCTTTTTTCTTTATAAAACTTGGGTTGAATGTTTTCATGATTAGACAAAGGGTTAGGACGATAATGAGTTTGATACCTTAGACGAGTGGTTCTCAAATGGGGGTCCGCAGAACCTTTGGGGTTAGCGAAGGCATTCCAAGGGTCCACAAAGTCCTGCCTCGTCAGTCACGCCAAGTAATAAAAGTTCTCTTTCTCTAATTTTCGGGCGAGTTTTCTCGTGCCTATATCAATCAGAGAAGTCTGCTTAACACTAGCCCTTAGGTATATCCGTCTACTAAATCATTATCATAATTAACCGATATATTTTCCTTCCCCTCATCACAAACGGAGACATCTGTCATCTCCGTTGATCCGCAAGGGATCCGGGAAACATCAATGGTTGAGAACCACAGCTTTAAACCTATGTTGCGAATTGAAAAACAAAAAGAGGGCGCGGGATAGCCGAAAATACAAACTTTTCGTGTAAGGCTAGTCAAAGTATGGGGCGCTGGAGAAAACCAGATTTTTGTGTTAACTCCTTATTTCGAACTCCTTTTGTTCTCGTCCTGCCCATTGAAAAGCATGCGCGAAGCGCTTCAGCACGCATCTCGTATCGTTCCGCCGTAGCGTTCTTCCACAGCTTAAAGACTGTCTGTTTTCTTCGCCGGCACTATGGCAGGGAACATTTTGAGACGGCGCGTGTATCACTCGGGAGCGTGTTACGCCCCTCTCCCCCCGTCCTGGCCTCAGCGGCTGCTCATCACAAACCTTCTAAACTTTGGCTAGCAGACAGCGTTAAGAAAATGACGTGAGCTGTTGCTGGCTTCATGCGGTGGTACCATTCGTTTCCATTCATTCGGCGTTCGTTGCCATGGTGACGGATATGAAAGCAGACGGCCTTTATACTGTGGAAGGACATTGCGGCGCAGCGTTACAGGGTGCGTGCTGGGGCTCTTCCCGCATGCTTTTCAATGGGTGGAACACAAACAAAAAGAATTCGAAATAAGGGCTTAACGCAGAAGGCTGGTTTTCTGTCGTGTCCCATAGTTTGACAAGCCTTACACGAAAAGCATGCTTATAGACCAGAGTTTTGAGATAGTTTTCTTTACAACGACATGGGTCTAAAATATCAATATCCGGGACGATGCAACCACTGAAGTCTCTGCACGCACTGCAACAACAATAACCTCTTGTAATTGATATACATGGCCAAACGCTTACCTCTGACGTCCACCTTTAATTGAGAAATAATATTTATTACAGACACTGTAGCTCTGCAAAACCAAGCAGTAAATACTTGCCCAAACGAGCATGTCCAATGT